TCTGCTACCCACCTCCTCCCTCTCCTCCCTCTGCTCTCCACCTCCTCCCTCTGCTACCCACCTCCTCCCTCTCCTCCCTCTGCTCGCCACCTCCTCCCTCTGCTACCCACCTCCTCCCTCTCCTCCCTCTGCTACCCACCTCCTCCCTCTGCTACCCACCTCCTCCCTCTCCTCCCTCTGCTACCCACCTCCTCTCTATTCTCATATTGCTCGACGAGTGACTTGAGTCGCTGGGCCAGCTCATCGTTGTCCGTCTTCAAACTGGCGTTGCGTTCCTGATTGTCCTTCATCTGTGTCGTCACCTCGTTCAAGGTCGTCTGGAACTTGGAGGTCACCTCCTTGCGCTTCTCCTCCTCCTCTCTCGCGCGCTGGAGGCTCTCATCCTTCAGGAAAGAAAAAACATTTAAAAAAATGAAAAGAAATGCTGGGTCAACTCCCATTGCATCATATCAGTGAAAATGAGTAAAAATAGTTGTTAAAATTAACTAATATAAATCTGTTTAGCTATCATCCGTCAGGAATAAATAAAAGCATGGAAGCATGTAGAAATAACGACATATATATGAATGAATACATAATTAATAAATAAACAAATACATATATATGTGAATTAATGAATGAATATATAAATAAATAAATAGAAATGATGCTAAACTATTGTTATATGATATTAGCAATAATAATTTAAAACTTAATAAGTTACATAATCATCCTTCAGGAATAAATAAATGCATGGAAGCATGTAGATATAAGAGGATAAAGATATAAAGATAAGAGATAAAGATATAAAGATTAAGAGATAAAGATATAAAGATTAAGAGATAAAGATATAGTCATAATCAGATATATGAATAAAAAAATGAATGACTAAACAAATATATAGAAATGATGGCGAACTCCTCCATGGTGTCACATCAGCAATAATAATAACTAGAGACAGTTATTAAAATTAACCAACGTAAATTGATTCAGATGATCTAAAAAGAATAACATAAACTAAGGAGCGAATTAACAAACAACGCGCAGCGTTGTCGTAACGCAATTGCAGCGGTATAGATGGAGCCACGGTGCGGCGAGCAGCACTGACCTTGACGACCTTGTTGTGCCGCTGCAGTTCGCGGCAGAGGCTTTCCAGCTTGCTGCGCGCGAGTACGGCTTTATTGTACTCTCCCTGCAGCCGATCTCTCTCGCTGACCAGCTACAAGACACACACACACAGTAAATACTCTCACATACTGACCAGTTACCAGTTGTAACAGAGAGGTCCTGGGGCCCTAGGACCCCCCCCCAATCAAAATCAAAATCCAAAAGAAAAAAAAAGTATTGTCAACAAAACAGCGTCTAAATTGATTTCAATGCACTATTTTTACATTTAACTCAAAAAAAATATTTCAGACCACCCGTTCAGACCACCAGACACCCTTGTTACTCGCTCGAGGACCCCCCCCCCATCTAAATTCCTGGCTACGCCTTTGGCAGAGAGCGCCATTTATAAACGCTTGACAGGAATTGCTGGAACATGATTTACTTCTTAGTAGTCACTAAGTAAAAACTAGTAAGGAAATCGGTAAATATTGTTGATATAAAGGCAAGATAGGCAAAATTTTTAATAGGCCAAGTGGATTATATGGGGGGTTTAACCGGCGGTATAACGCGAAACCGCTCGCCTACAAACACTGGTGCACACCCCATCCAACCCTGACATAGGTGGAGACATTACCACTTACGCTCTGGGAAGTGGGACACCCCCCCCCCCCACAAACGCTACCCCTGGCCAGAGGCAGGGGGCGCTGTAGTATTCTGCTATCACACGATGACTGCTCTCACTGTCATGTTCAACAGTTGCATTGTGGGATCGCCCTCTTGGAATAAACATGGCTGACCAGCAAAGTTAAGAAATATATTTTGTCGTTCATGTACATTATTGTCCCAAGTGGTTAAATCCATAATCATCGGTAGTTATTACTGACACTGAAGGGGTCGTTGTCGTATAGGGTAATACATATATGTCCCGAGGTACATATATGTATACATAAATGTACCCAGTTTACGAGTTCACTACATAAGTGTACCTGTGATCACATATATGTAATATAATGATAGTCTAGGGAGTCGCCTACGCCTACTCCCTAACCCTAACCATATCAGATAGTTACCTCGGGTACATATATGTCACCTACGCCTACGCCTACTCCCTAACCCTAACCATATCAGATAGTTACCTCGGGTACATATAATGATATATATGTATTATCCTATACGACAACGACCCTTCGTGCATTATTACACTGGCGACGAGGATGGGATCCGAACCCATGCGGGAAAACGCTGCACTTACAATAGAAATTCAGCACGGTGTCTACATGCTCGGGTGTGCTTGTGTGGAGATACCTTTTATGTTTGTTTGTTTGTTTTGCTTGGTACATATAATGTATTGCCTACAGATTTATATGATGTGCAGTGATACAATTTGTAAAAAAAAAAAGAATGGGAACATTCAATAAACATTTTTGAGTCGGCCCCTTTTGGCGGGTCGGTCGGGTGAGGGCAAACAAACAATATTTTTAGAATTTTGCACAGGGGAGAGATATAGTGATCCGCTAGGGGACGGCTCCGATTGGCTAATTTTGTCT